TGTGGTGGGTCCATCCTCTTTCTTCACTCAAAGGCAAAGGCACAAGCCATGTGTATTTCTGCCTTTAAGTCACTTTAATTTTTTTTCCTCACAAAAATGAAGAGTTTGGTTCCAGAGCTACACACAGTTTCAGTAGGGGCGGTTTGGTGGGTGCTCTTCCCCAAAAAGCTTCTCCTTCCTGTGCATTTCTGTAATGATATCTTTTTGTCATTATGTGCTTTTGACAGGGCCTCTCACTCTAGCCCTGGCTGGCCTGGTGCTCACAGTTGACTGGGTCCTGTTCTATCAACCAGGAGTCAAGATAATCCCTCATAGTTAACGTTCACAGACCGTCCTGATCTAGACAATTCCTCAGCTGAGGCTTCTCCTTTTCAGATGACTCTAGACTGTGTCAAATTGGCAGTTAAAGTTAACCATGACATTTGTGTAGGCTGGTCTTAAAGTCACAGTGATCCTGCTGCCTCAGCTTCCCAAATTCTGGGATTATAAGCATGAGCTGCTCACTTCTGACTATTAAACCCTCCTTCAATCATTGCTGGGTTCTCAATAAAAATGAATCTTTAAATTGTTTACATTGAATTTCCAGTTCTCTGAGTTGGCAAGACATTTTTGTGGTTTCCCCCGTTAATGGGATTTATAGCAGAAACTTGGTAAATAATTCATTTTGTTTTTGTTCTTGCTTTAAAAAAAAATGAGAACCCAGCAGGGCAGGAATATTGCACAGGCTATTTCATTTCTGAATTTTTAACAGTTTAAATGTAATTCACAGAGAAGGAGTTAAAAAGAAAGTCTGTAATTGTTGATCACAGTTAGCTCAAATAGCCCTCCCTAAAAGATAATTAGCTTTTGGAGTGATTCCAAATGGCTTCTTTGTTGCTTATATTTGCAAAACATTTTTCCACTGCTATGTCCGCGTATCTCAGAAAGTACTTAAAAGTTTGCTAGCTACATGATCAGAATCCATACAAATTGGAAATCAGTGACTGCTTCTCATCTGTGATTTACTCTGTTCTCATTAAGATTATAACTTAAAAAAACATGAATCTTAATTTTCTTTTAGTTGGTACAACATTGCAATCCTAGAAAACAAGCAAGTGGAGGGAACTTGCAGGGCAAAGCAAACATATGGACTTCAAATAAGAAGCCTCCATAGTTAGCAAATATCCTATGTGCCAAACAGAGCTAGAAATAAGATGTTTGAGCAGTTCTTTCACCTACCCTCTATTTAAGGTTTTTATCATGAAAGATATCAGATACACACCAAAGTGGAGAAGGTGGCATGCCAACACCACATAGTGGTCACTTGGAGCACTCACACTCCTCAGCCTTCTGGTCCATTAGTAGCCGCTCTTTCTTCTCTTCTGTGCCTGGTCAGTTATACTGAAGCAAACCCTAAACCATGACTTTGATACACTCAACTAATTTATTTCTCATGGTGTTTTCCCATCATAGAACATTATCACACTTTAAAACCTAGTGGTGAGTCTCTGTATCCAGCACTATTATCCATTAATATTATAGTTTTTCCCAATTATATGATAAAAGCTTAGTTTAATAATGGTTTCCTTGAACTAGCCTCTTTCTCAGTCACTTTTCCTAATGCTGTGTTAAAATTCCCTTACAACTTAAGGGAGAAAGTTTGTTTCCGCTCTGAGTTCCAGCGTACAGTTCATTACGGTGAGGAAGCAACAGTGCCTGGAGCTTGGGGCAGCTGATCAAACTGGGACCAGGAAGTGGAGAACTGTGACTGCTCAGCTTCAGTTCTCCCTCATATTTAGTCCAAGTCTGAGGCCGAGGGAATGCTGATACTCACTATTAGATTGGGTCTTCCCACTTCAGTTCACCTTATCAGTTAATCTCGTAAGGTACACCAAGGGGCTAACCTAATTTAAATAATTCCTCACATATATGCCTGGAGGCCTCTCTCTTAGGTGATTTTAGATCCTGTCAAATTGGCAATCAGCCATCATAGTACATAAATAGAGTCTGTCCTCTGGGAGGTCTCATAGGCCATTCGTAATTTATGTATGCTTGTTTAAGAAACTAGCTCATTGGTGCAATTATTTCTCCCTCATCCTGGGCATTCTGTCCCCAACATGTCATGTAATGTGTTCTGATGGTTCTTGTATGTTTTCTGTATTAGTAGTTGGCTTTAGAACTGGTTCAAATTCAAGATTTTGTCTCTGTCGTTTTTGTTTTTTTTTTTAACAAGATTATTTCATCATGGGTCTGTATAAGCTTTCTCTCTCTCTTTAAGACATTAAAATGAATTAGTGAGCTCTATGTACCTGATTTGTTTTATCGTTGTTTGAGACAAGGTCTCACTCAGTAGATAGCCTAGCATGGCCTCTGACTCAGAGCTATCTTTCTGCCTCAACCTCTTGAGTGCTGGGGCTGTAGGCACTTACCTGGTCCCTCCATCATATAGTGCCACTAACCTAATATGTTTAGTAGTTGTTGATGGCTATTCTGTATATATTTATTTCAAGTGGAAAATATTTTAAGCAATTTTTAAGAGGAGGGTGTGAATGACAGCTGCTTTGTCTGTGAAACGTGTGGCTCAGTATCCACCAGTCAAGCCGTGCAGAGACTTTCCACGCAACTGGAGGGAGAGGCATCGTGCTCCCATGCAGAGAAAGCAGTACACAGTAATGCTGCTGGTTTGCTGTGAGATGGCATTCTCAGGTAGCAGCACATAAGCCCAAGACTTAAGTGGATTCGGTCTTTGCTATTTGTTCATTAGCATTTCATTAAGAATTTCGAGGGAGGGAAGTGGTGGGAAATACTGTTGAGACGTCCCACTCCCACATGTTTCTGTGTGAGAGTTTGAGAGTAGTTTTCCTCGTTGGCATGGGTGATTTCTCACTGCAAAAGAAGTGGTGGAAGAGGTGATGGAAGAAGCAATTTGGATTCTCTGAGGTCTGGAGTAACCGGGTTGATGGGTTTCACACTAAAGTAACACAGCCATGGAACTTGTGTTAGCTGCTTTCCCTGTTGCTGTGAGGGAAGTACTTGACAAGAAAAACTTGAGGAATGAAAGACGGAAGGGTTTGTTTTGGTTCACACTTTGAGGGAATAGTCCATCATGGTTGGAAGGATGTGGTGGCAGGATTGTTAGGCAGCTGGTAATCCTGCAGTCATCATCCGGAAGCAGAGAGAGATGCATGCTGGTGCTCAGTGTGATTTTTCCCTCTTACTCAGTCTGGTACTCAAGCCCATAGAATGAGGCATCCCAAATTCAAGATGTATCTTACTACCTCATTTAAATTCCTATAGAAATGTCCTTCACACACATCCACAAGCATGACTCCCCAGGGAGTCTAAATCCTGTCAAGTTCACAGAAGGTAACATAGAAACTCTGCTTAAACCTCTGTGTTACTCCAAGAATCCCTTCTGTGGGGAGGGCTTCTCTTTGGGCCCTGTACTCTTATGACATTCCTCTTACTTTTCCCTGTTCTTTCAAGGTATATCATTTGCATTATTGTATTTATAGTCCTTTGAGAAAAGGTGTTACCTGTTTCTATTTAATTGCATATGGGTGTCATAAGCAAACTCAGTTGTCCATCACTTACAGTGGTAAGAACAGGTTTTGTTTAGTAACTGTTGACAATAGGGGGAAGATTTGAGTCCATTCTGATTTGTATGAAGGTGTCATCTTTATCTGCTTGCTGGCAGTTACTAGGTGAGAAGCCTGTCCCCCACTGCACTGGAGACAGATGCCTTGGCCTTCCTCATTGGTTGGAGTTTCAAGCATGGCTCTTAGGTCCTAGAGAATGATAATTCTGGGTTTGTTTGTTTGTTTAATACAGGCATGTGTGCATGTGTATATGCCTGTCGGTATAGGAATAAATGTGTGTTTGGAGGCCAGAGGTCACCTTCTACCTTAGAAACATTGTCTACCTCCATTGAGATGAGGTCTCTCACTGGCCTAGAACTCATTAGGTTTTGCTGGCTGTCCATAGAGCTCTGGTGATTGCCCTGTTTCCACCACACCAGCACTGGTATTAACTATGCCTGACTTTTTTAAGTGGATTCTGGGGATCAAATTTGGGTCTTCATGCTTGTGTGTCAAGGATTCTGCCTGCTAAGCTGTCTCCTTCACTCCAGTATTTAAGGTCTACACAGTCAAAATCTGCAGCCCCTTTTATACAGAGTCTATGAGGGATGCTTAGAGAGGCCTGTTGGGTGTTGACTAGAACAAAGAACAAATTCTCTGCTCAGCCATGCAGTTACTCAGGCAAGCATTTTAATGGAGATTGGGGTGGTCAGATGTCTCTGGGTGTGGCTTTGTGGAGGTTTGAATGTATCTGTGCTGAGAGCCCTGAAGTTCTCAAGAACCTTGGGTGCCATTTAATGACTGTGTAGGCTGTGAATTTGGGTAAACTCACTTTCCTCTAACCCCAAAGATGATGTTCAAGTAGAATGCCATCTACTTCACCGTAGAGCCTTGTCCTAGGCAGGAAGTGGGGGTAAGAACCTCCCACTCTCTCCCTGCCACTATTCCCTACCCTACCAACTGTGAGTAAGAGATTTAATATCTCTACCACAAATACTTTACCGAAATAGTCTAATGTTGATCAGTCTACTATCAAGATGATGAGATATTTTCAAATATATTGTTATATTCTAGACAATAACAAGATGAGATGATCTAAGAGACAGGGTTTCCTACAAAGCAAGACTGTGTTTGCCGTTTACCTTCATCAGGGTTTCCTATTGCATTTATCCCATGTTTTGTGTATTTACTTGTGTGAGAAGTTTAAATATCTTCCTTGGGAATTGTGTCTTGTTTGCTTTCTGTTGAAGTCAGCACCCAACACAGTGGCTAGAAGCTGTGAGACAAGTTCCCAGATAATCAGTTTCATAGACAGTTTGATGTCTTTCCCTGTCTTCCTCTACCACAAACAATGACAGAACAGACAGGCTATTTCCTAGAACTGTGGTAAACAAGTGTTTGCAAAACGTGGGAAGTTGTATTTCACAACTGTTCTCTTCATAGGTTCCTTACCTATTCCTACCTCCTGGCCTTCAATGCATGGCTTCTGCTGGCACCCATCACCCTGTGCTACGACTGGCAAGTGGGAAGTATTCCTCTGGTGGAGACCGTGTGGGATGTGAGGAACCTGGCTACTGTCCTGCTGGCAGTGGCGATGGCCTTGCTGAGCCTACACTGCATGGCAGCCTTCAAGGTAATCTCTAAGAGCAAATGGATTCTCATATTGAAAACTGACCATCTCTGTCACTACTGCTTCTTTTCATAATGGGGGTCTGGGTCAAAATCACATGTTACTTACAAAACTTGGCAAATTAAGTTTTCCTAATAGGTAATAAGTATTTAAAAGTCTTTAGCAGAGCTAATAGAACATGCCCATCTTAATTTTATCATGTCTTTATTTAAAAGATTTATTTTTATTTATGCATATATGTATGTGTCTCTATGTAGGTATACCATGTGTGTATAGATGCCTGTGTTGGCCAGAAAAAGGTGTCAGATCCCCCGGAGTTGGAGATAGAGGTGGTTGTGAGCTGGCTGACTGGGTGCTGGGAACCAAACTCTATTCCTCTGGCAGAATAGCAGTTGTTCTTAGCCACTGGGCCATTTCTCCAGCTCTGTATAATTTCTTTCATTATGTCTAGATACTTTGTAACAGTAAGAATTTCCTCCTGGTATGGTTAGCTAATATTTGAAGGAATTTATTTGATATAATGTCATAATAAATAATATACTTATAAATGTTTAAGGTATGATTGAGACTCCATAACCACTTAAATTTGATGGTTCCTTCTTCAATCAGAAAAAAATATAAAACTGGACAAAATTATTAAATTCAATCATTTAAAAAATGATCAAAACTAGAAAATATTGATTGATGGGAAATTGCCACTACATTGATGGCATGCCTCTCACCTGGGTTATTCTCATCCTCCTAGACCTGGTGATAAAAATTCACAAGTCTCCTGGTTGGAAGTAGCTGAACTGTAGAAAAAAGCAAAAGCACCTAGAATTTTTGTTTGTTCAGTGCTTTGAGACAGTGACTCATGTCGCTCAAACTGGCCTTGAACTCTGTTTTGTCTGTGGATGACCTTGAGCTCCTGATCCTCCTGCCTCAAATTCTAAATCCTGGGATTACAGGCAAGTATTACCATGACTGGCTAGCAGCTAGGATTTAAGGGGGATTGTATAAGTGAGAAAGGTGCAGAATGCTGCCTAAAAGCCTCCCCATGCCTTCATGGTGACTGCTAGGTCATAATATGCGAATTTGAAACTCTGGAAAGAGACTTGTTTGGGGCAATTCTGAATGAATTCTTCCCACGCACATAGGTTCAGCAGTGGAGGGCAAACATTCACTAATCTGATTTATCCCTATATAATTTTTGTTCAAATTATTGGCTGCCACAAAACCAGCCAGGCACAGTGGAGATGATATCCAGAGATCCACACAGAAACCGAAACCAAAACAAAGAAACAATAGCAACAGTTTTAAAATTCTGACCAAAAATTTCAGCATTCTCAACATGCAGGGCTGGGAGATGACTCAGGTGTTACAGTGCCTTTGCTGAAAGTATGAAGACCTGAGCTTGGATTCCAGGGCTGCTGTGGCATGTGTCTATTGTATTGTCACTAGGGAAATGGGGACAGGAGGATCCCTGGATTTGCTGGTCAGACATGCTAGTCCATCAGTGACATACGTTTTATTTCTCTTGGGCGTATTTCTGATTCATGTACAAGTTTGCTTTTTAACTTTGGCAGACTGCCCATGCCTGTGCAGTGGCTGCCCTGTGTCCTACCCCACCGGTTAGGTAGAGCTGGTTCAGTGTCCCTGCTTCAGTGCTGTGTCTCCCTCCTCCTTCTCCTCTCCCCCCTCTCCTCTCCCCATCTTCCCTTTTCTCCTCTTCTTCCTCCTCCTCTGTATTTGTATTCTCCAGGTAGACATTCAAGCTTCTGTTACAGAATATGGAGAACAGTCTAGAATTTTTTCATCATTGGCTCAAGGTCTTTCCAACAAAAATTTAAAGTAAAATGGTTTCCTCAACAACGAATTTTAAAGCTATTAATTTTCCCTCACGTGGTGAGATAGTCCCTCTGAAGGTGTGTAGAGGAGAGATGAAGGGTGTTCCATCCATGAAGGAATTTACCCCAGGAGAATCATGGGCTTTTCTTTGTGGCTTGTACAAACTTTACATCGTCAGGAAAGCACCCTTCTGACATGGTGTGTTTGGGGGGCTTCTTTCCACTGGCCTCATCCCAGTAACTTCCTTCCTATGACCTGTCCTCTAAAATGGCCTCCCTGAGTGATGGGAAATGCTGCCCAGTGGTTTTCAGGAGTAATGTGTTGGATATGGGCTCTTCATGTCATTCTCACAGGTCTTCTTGAGATTTTAAGGACTTTTAATGACTTTTATAGCCTTGCAGCATCCCTATAGAAGGAAAACCTGGATAAAAAGAGGAAGAGGAGAAAAGATGGTCCCCTGGCTTGGCTGATGGCCTCACAATGACAAAGACTGGTCATGAGTAGAGGTTCCAGCCTCCTGCCCCTGCTCTGAGCATGGGCCCCTGGGGGGGGGGTGTGTGTTAATTTTCTTTTCTGGAAGAGGCCATAGGTTTGTGCCTATCTGTGTACCTATCTCAGTCTCCTGATGATTTCCTTGAGATCAGGACAAGTCACAGCTGCAGCTCTGAGACCTGGAAAACAAACCTGGTCCTCAGGTCCTTAGGGAGGCGACACTGTAGCTGCAGCCCTGGAGCCGTGAGAGTGCCTGCAGTGGGGACTGGAGGAGGCAGACTGGGGAGGGAAGCCCTGCACCCCTCACCTGAAGAGGTGGCTGCAGTCACTCCTGGAACTTCCTTTTGTGTCCGTTCCTAGCCTTTCTTTGCTTCTTGCTAGTCCACATCACAATCCTCATCTCTCTACTCCCCAAAGAGTAGTCACCTGGTGTGCAGAGATTCCCACCTAATGTCTCTAAGCAAGGCCCACATTCTCAACAAGGAGGCAAGGCTAGAGTATGAGCAACTGTTGGAAAGTGGTTATCTGCACATGGACATCCCAACCTCATTGAGAACAGGATTCAGAGCAGTCAAGTGGACACCCCACACACACACACACACACACAGAGACCAAAGAAGGCACATCATGCTGTTGCTTTTTCCTATTTTAAAGAACACGATATTTGAAGTGTTGCTGCCCATGTGATCTGTCACAACTCTATCCTTGAAGCATAAATTAGCCAACCCTGCAGCATAAAATTGTTATACCATAGACTCATACAGTTAAAGTAGGCATAATTCCAGATGACTAGAAATTATTTTGCATTTTGCTCATCAAAATAATAGACTAACATATTATAGTGCCACATGGATCACTGGGTTCTAGAATGTCCCTTACAAACCCTGGTGAATTGAGCATCGTGTTTGAATACAGTGAGTGGTGAAACAGTAGTGAGCTTGGAGGACGCAGACGGCGTTAACCGAGAGTGGTCTGCGCCCACGCTGCTCTTTCCTCCCCTCCGCTGGCTTGTATCCATTTAGTTCCCATTCTCCGCACGCGGCACTTTCCCACTCACATTTTCTTAATTCATAGAAAGCCCTCACAGGATAACAGGGACGCCGTCTTTCTAGATCGTGTGTTTGGGGCCTCTTGGTAGCTGAGGCTCTAAACTGCGCTGCCAAGGTCCCATGTGTGAGGTCAGCTCCAAAGCGGGCACAGGCAGGGCAGCTGTCCGGCCTGTCTCTGCTGGCTCCTCCTTCTGCCGCCATGTTACCTGTGGCCACACTGACCTTGGGCCGCAGCTTTCTACCTCAGTAGCTGTCTTCCAGATTTGCCCTTGACCAGTACTACAGAACTGGAATTTCATTGGTAACCTTTCTCTGAGATGAATTTGAAAGTAAACTTACCCTCTCCTCTCATCCAGTGTGGGGAGAGACAAGTGTTGCTGTGGAACTTAATCAAAGACCTCTGCTGCGCTCCGCCTCGTTTCATGTTGTTGCGTTGCCATTGCCATACGTGAGAAAGATGTGGCTTCTCTTCTGTGATTCTAATTTTATATGGTAATCACACTTTAAATTCATGGCCACACAGCCCAAGTGAAGCCTGGCCCCTCTGTGCTGGAGGTAAGATGAGAGCTACCTCAAGTCCTAGGCCAGGGTTGGTGATGAACTTTGCTGGTCCTCACCTGTGTGTGTTCCCCTCCCCTCCTGCACCATGCTGTGAGGTCAGACCAGGCCACCCAGGGCCTCTGACACAGCACAGTAGCCCTCACAGGGGAACAATGAATACATTCCAGCCATTTGCAGAGTCTGGTCATTGTCATGGTCACCATCATCCTGAAAGTGTTGCAGCTCAACTCCAGGAGTACAAAAGGGCTCCTGTGTATAGATAGCAGACTTAGTAACAAAGAAAACCACTGACCCATGCTTGCTCAAACAGTGAGAATATATATAAAGTTATTGTTATTTATCAGCATCAACCTCTCCCTCTTACCCAGCTCCCTTCATCCCCAGTGAAAGAGAACATCTTTAAATTCTAACAACTGCTCTCTGTCCTTTAATGCTACATGGGTTACTTTTCTCATCACACTGACAAACTTAAGGGAGGAAAAATTTCTTTGGCCCCACAGTTGGATATACAGTCCATTATGGCCCAGCTGTGGCAGCAAGGCAAGGCTGCCTGCTCACATCTGGACAGATCAAGGGGCAGAGATGGGGTAAGAAGATTAGCCAAAGTCCTCCACGCAGCAGAGTACTTCCTCCAGCTAGACTCTGAAGTCTCAGCTTCCCAGAATAGCGGAGTTCAAACACTTGAACCTGTGGGTGACATTCCCAATTCAAATCGTATGACAGGACCACCACAGATGTGTATAGAGTCTGTGTGTTCAGATGTCACAGAAGGGCAGGCGCGAAATCACTAGTTTAACTGTATGTGAGGTGGTACTGTAAAGAAACTGCCAACATGACCGTCCCATGGTATGATTAAGGGAAAGGTTTTTATTCTGCATAAGAGAGAGAAAATATCCAGAGGCATCTGGAAGAGTCCAGAGTAAAGAAAAAAGAAAGCAGACTAGACATGGTCAGGGCTGTGTTCAAGAGAAAAGGGAGAAGAGCAGGAAGAGAGCATATCGCAATTGGGGGCGGGGGAGACTAGTGAGAACAGCGTGTATAGCCAAGGACAGAGGGTATAAAGGGAGCAAGATC